AAATTTTGAGAAAATAACAATTGTTTTTAAGAAAAGTTTGGTACAAGTGATTATCAGGAAGAGTTAGTGATTTGTATATTTTACAAATATTTTATATTAGATAATCTTTTATATTTTAATACATAAAATCTTATTGATTAAAATAAAATAATTTTATCATCAAATGGAGATACTCATAGCAAAGCAGGAAATGAAACTATATAGAGCCTTTGTAGTAGAAAGAATCAACACTGTTTAAAAATCAATATTGAGTTTTTGATATATTAGAATAAATTTTAATATATACTACATTTTCAATTATAGATAGAAATTGACTTGTATAATAAAAATCAAGATATTTTAAAAAATTTATTTAGAAAATAAATATATTATAAAATTACTTAATTTAACTAACCAATAAAATTACAAAAAGTTGATTAATCTGGATTAGTTTAAACAAAACAAACTCAATTATTTCAAAATTGTATATATTCTAGTATCAGCACTTTTTACTGCAAATGCCTATATAATATATAGTTTTATTTTTGCTTTTACTATAGATATTTCAAATATAAACAACATCATGTAATCTATGTTATATCTAATCAAGCAATTTAATTGAAGAATATAAGATTATTACAAAGATTAGTCTAAAACCAGTTCTTTAACAGCTCCAATTTAGAACTGGTTCAGACTGGCTTTTTACAACTCTAATTATAGTATTATTTTGTTAGTTCTTTTATAATTCTATTATAGTCTGATTTTAAGTCTCTTGTAATTATTATTCTATAAAAATTTGATGTATTGTATAAATAGATTTTACCAATAACAATATACATAATTCAAATTTAGATACAAAATTAATTACTATTTATATAATATAAAAATCTGTAATATTTATCAGAAATTTTATAGCTCATTAACATAGTTTTAATTACTTAGTTGGTGTCTCACCTTAATATAATATTTTATTTTCTTATTTTTTATAATTTTCAACTTTTAATATTTTCATTATTTTTTATATTTTTATAAATTTTTCTTATTTTATTTTTATTTTATTTTTTTAAAATATTAATTAATAGCCTATACAAAAATTTTACAAAGAATTTTTTTGTGTGGTTTTTTAATCAATATTTTGAGATATATATATTATCTGTTATATATAGAATGTTCTATAGAATAGGTGAGCAAACTCTGCCAACTCCGCAACTCCGATATTAAAAAATTAATGATTACTAATTATTAGCGAAGCTTATTTCTTATATTGCCCACCTATTCTATAGAACATCCTACATATATTCTGTGTATAGATAGAAATTCTTATAAAACAAATATAAAATTAAAAAAATTTGCCACCAGATGTTTAGAGTTTGTGTAATATGTAAATCAAAATAGTTTTTATCAAAATAAACAAATAAACAAAATATAATTTAGCTTAATATTGAAAACTAATATTAAGCCAGGTTATAGGTTATAATAAAATTTTGCAAGAAATTTTTTTCTTAAAGCCCCAAAGATAGTTTCATATAAAAATTTTGAGATATTATTAACTTTTGTTTTTTTGCTTTATTTTTGTTGCACAAAAAAATGATCTGCAATATGCATTTAATCGAATGTTTTGATTGGCTTTTCTATTTGGTTTGTATAACCAAGTGTTATTACACCTAGTGTAAAATAGAAATTGCCTATAAAATTATTAGATATTGTTTATAAAAAAAAACTGATATGATGCAAACAGTTAAGCAGTCAACTTATTATATGTTATTTAAAATTTTCAATTCTCATCATACTAAAATTAATATTTTTTATCCTTCATTAGTATAGGCTTGTATACTAGCAGACTAGTTGCCACGTCTATAAAACTATCTATAAGGCATACTGTATCAGGGGCTTTTTTATAATTACATTGCTTATTTTTATGCGAACTGGTGTCATGATATGTTTGCGCAATATCTGTCATTTGTTGAAGAACTTCAACTCCATCGTCGTCTTCGCCAAAATGTATAGTATTAAAAAATAATGGAGACCTTATAGTTTAATGTAATTTAAATTAAATTGTTTCAACAGTAACAAGTTTAGGGTATTTTTTTACCAAATTATTACATACCCTCTTTCCTTATTTTTCTGGCACATGTTCTTTAATTCATTTTCTGGAAGATTGTCTAATCCATCAGAAAGAAACATTACAACATTCAACCTAATATATGTAATAAAAATTGAATTATTTAATTATATTATTTAGTTTAATATCAAAAGAAAAACATCTACCTTGATATGTCAAAATTATTATCAATAACTTGTTCTGTTTTTTTAATTGCCTTTTGAAAACAAGTCGATCCTCCGATTCCTTTCTCAATCAGTTTATCTTGAATAAAATCAGTATCAAATATACTTTTATTTTCAAATAGAACTTCAGAATGGCCATCAAAAAGTATAATTGAAACAATATCATTGGCAATTGTTGTGCTTTTATTTTGATTTTGTGTTGAAGAAATCCGTGTCTTAATAAATTTATCTGTTGCTTGTAACGCTGCACCAAATCGGTTGTTGAAATTTGCTTGTAATGACCTTCCAAATAATGAATCTGACGTTGGTGGATGATCATCACAGCACATAGATCCAGATCGATCTAATACAAAAATGATATGAAAAGCAGCAACCCTGGGATCTTGACATAGAAATACATGTCCATCATTAGATAAATATCCTTTCTTTCTTGGAGGCAAAGCTTTAATTGGATCATGAAATAGTTGCAAATCACAATAAGATTTTTCTGGTGATAAACCATCTATTGATTTTCGATGAATTTCATCAATGCACTCATGGTCACATTTTTCAAAATCTTCTTGCTCCAAGGCAGTATATGGGTCTGAAAAATGGCAAAATCAAATTAATATTAATATAAATATCTTTATATAATATATAAATCGCTTGCCTTCAAATCCAGTTCGAGCCAAAATTGTTTGTGTGATAAAAAGTCTTTAAGTATCTCAGGATTTGGCGTAAATTCAACATCTATTATATATTATTTAATGTGCACAGTAAGAGAATAAACGAAACCTAAATTAAATATAATAAGGGTTGATTTATAATTGATTTATAATTAGACATTTTATAAATACCATTAATATGTCTAATACCATCTTCTTTATCTTCAAAATGATTTCTAAATTCCCTAGACCATAAACTAGTATGTCCTTTAAGTTGTATATTAGGTTTATCTTTAAGCTTGTCTTTATATTTGCAGTAATCTATGTGCCGATGTCTACGAGAATTTTTGCAATGCTAAAATAAACAGAATCATATCAAATTTGAACTAAAAATTTATTATTCCCATTATATTGTCAATCATTATTATCTTAATAAATAAAGGATACCTATTTTTATTAAGAGAATGGGAAAAATATCACATGTTGGTTAGCCAATTAAATCGGCTTTTATAAAAAGAAACGAAATTTAATAAAAATTTGTAGCTAAAGTTCAAAATAAATGCCGTTAAATACTACTGTTAGGTAAGCAGCAAGTGTTTATCAATTTAAATCAAAATTATTAATTTTCTATAGTATTTAGTTTTGTTAATCGTTATTTACAAAACTTCAATAATAACGATAATATCTACGTATATATTTAATTATACGCGTAATTCTATGGCTAATTCTATGTTTAATTCTATGTCTACTCAAATTTCTAATCTTTTACACACATTATAAGAGTTTTTTGTAATTTGAATGCACATCATATATATAAACTTCTTATCGTATCCTCCTATAGTGATAATATTAATAAATTACCCAGTTAATTATTATTAGTCATATATTTTCGATTTTCTAAAAGATTTTTATACAGCACGTATAATAAAAAAAAAAAAGACAAACTAATTCTTCTCTCCTACACTATCGTAGTTAACCAGTACCGTTTGCCACTGCATTCAGTACCCGGGGTCTTATCCAAGAATTCCAGTTTTTAAATTGATGAATAATACCCAGATCTTTATCAAGGTGGGGGATACTGTATGCAGTGGCGAACGTTGTTAAGTTTTTTTTTTTTTTGCTTAGCAAATAAGATTTTACCAACGTAGTGATTGTAACTTACTTATCCTCAGCAGGTATGAAAGTTGGTAGATTAAAATAGACTAAGCGAATATGTTGTTGAGCAGGACGAAAGCTTCAAGTTTACTTAGTGCACTTTACCCCTTTACTAAGAAGTTAAAGTACTCGATCTTCAGAAAAAAGTATTGTAAAACGTATAAAAAAGGTCTTTAATTAATTGTGTAACGATCAACAAAATCGGGGCACTCAGGACATTCCGACCATGTGACCAATAAAAAAAGTATCCTGATTAAATGACAAATTACTATATATATACTTCCAAGTATTTATATGTACTTATTAACGTGTGTTAAAAAAAAAACCTTGTAACATCTCAAATATCTATATTATATTCATAACGTTAAAGTTCTTTTTTCTCAAATGGTACTTGGATACGTATTAATTTCATAGAGCTACTTAATACAAATATTTTAGAATGTTGAATCAGAAAGTTGATAAAAACATTTATCATTAAATGTAAACAGCAAAGTGATTGAATCTAATAATTATCATGACAAGCAGCAAAAAAAAAATCAATTCAATTTATTACATTTAGCAAAAAATAATCTTGATGAAATATTAGCAAAGTGATTGAATCTAATAACTATCATGACAAGCAGCAAAAAAAAAATCTATTACATTTAGCAAAAAATAATTCTGATGCAAATATTAATAACCAACATATATTTCGCAAGCACTAGTTTAGAATAATATTACTTTTGCGTACCAAGAATCTGACTTCATGACATGTCTAGTTGTCTAATAAAGTCAGTAGTAACATTTGCATTACCCTCCTTTTCAGCTGAATGGTATGTATTATGTATTTTGCTCATGATCTCACTAACATGCAACATACGTGCTTCCATCTCTCTCTCTTTGAAGTTTTGAACAGGTATTTGAATTTCAGTTATTCTGTTACTTTCATATACTTCCATACCTGCATCTGCAAACTTTCTTCCAAACATTTTCTGTTAGTAATTTAGTAGTTGTAAGACCAAAAAGATGTTGGTGGAACATATGTTTATAGGGAACCAAATAGCGACGGAAAAATATACATGTGCACTCCGGTGTTATTAAGTTTGGAGAAAATTTTCCTTTTTCAATTCTTATATTCATAGCAGTAATTTCACCAGCCATCAATTTTTGATCTTGATAATGAGATATTC